ATTATGTGTTAATTTCTCGATCTTTGTTAGATGTGTGTGATTTTTAATTAAAAAACTGTCCCTTAAAAAACATTATTGATATTGTATCTTCATAACTTGCTTTTTTATGAGAAATTTTTTTTTTATTATTTTATCAAATTTTCGGAAACGGTATTCAAAATACATGTTATTAAAAAAATAATAATATACCATTTCATTTTTTTTTTATCATATATCCATATTTGAACAGGGACGTAGAGGATCAAATACTGATTCCGATCATCATATGAAAAGGTCTCAGTCAGTGTCACAGCAATTAGGAGGTAAGCCAAGCTCAGATTTACTTGGCCTAAACTTGTTCAATCCTAGCAGTACGCCATCGAGCGCGTCGACACCGACCGGTAGCCACCCTTACGCCCCGCTGCAGAGTCCACCGCCACTTTCCACATCGCCGACTCCGTCGCAGCCGCCGCCGCCACAATCTGCACCGCCTACACATTCTCATACCCGATTTCCAGGTAAGTCCTATTAACGCTTATCTGCTTGCTGAATGGAAGCTACAAATTTATTGAGTCATTATCAAATATAAATTCTGCGGAATTTGCGACACCAAATAGCAGTCAACTTATTTATTATGATACCTATATATGTAAAAAAAAAATATTAAGATATGAGTTACGAATATCGCTTACAGCAATGTACTAAATTGAAACATATTTTTTATTTTTACATGAAATTAGGAACAAAAGAAACACACACACACACACACACACACACACACACACACACACAAGAATATTTGTAAAAAGAATCACATTTTTTTTTAGATGGGGATTTATTTTCGGAAGTTGGAGACATCACACCGGCCTTGCCACCCAAGCAATCCGCATCCTCAACGCCGACGGGATCGATCGTAATACCCAGACCGCCATCGCGCCGAGGAGAAGGTCCATCACCACGCGGTAGAATGTCACCTGCGACGATATCTCGGGCTGATAGCGTCGCTAGCCTGGAATTTCGCACTGCTGGTGTGGGCGTGGGATCTTCGCGGGGACCATCTCCACTCACGATCGGCCTAGCGGACACCATTCCGTTGGCAGTCGCTTTCCATGAGATAGTGCATTCCTATTTCCGTGGTACGGATGAAACCCGATGTCAAGTAAAACTAAGCGGTGACATGATGCTCTCCTTTCCGGCTGGCATTGTCACAGTCCTAGCAAATAATCCCAGTCCTGCCAAGCTGACCTTCCGCGTGAGGAACACCAATAGGTTAGAGAGACTGTTGCCAAACAGCCAACTTATCAGCATGTAAGTCATGTTTACTAATCGCTTTGATCCTTAAATCGAAAAAAGGCAGTTTGATGAAAGAAGAGATTGTATTTATAGGGACGCAACTCAAACTACCGTCGATAGTACAATCTTCGAATTCAACATGAGTGCCTTAACTATGTTGCTTCGGCGGCAAGCTGAACAGAATCCCTCGGCCTCGTATTTCAATGTAGACATCCTCAAATATCAAATCAAATGCAAGGAAGGTGCTGGTTCATGTCCTTTTCAATTAGTCGCATATTGGAAATGTGAAACAACCCACACCGATCTCAAGGTAAGATATTTAGTCATTTTTTTAAAGAGAAAAGATGTTTGAAAGAAACAAAAGCGACAATTTCGTCTATCTCGCTTGATGTCGTAGTCGTTGCAAATTAATTGTTTTTGATTCTAGATCGATTATAAGTATAACAGTCGCGCCATGGCCTCGCCGAGCCCTCTACTGAATCTCCATGTTGCTGCGCCTATTGATGGCGGTTTTAAATCGTTCAATAGTAAACCATTGGCACAGTGGCTGCCCGACACGAATCGCGTACTATGGAAATTTACGGAGCTTTCGCAACATAGCGAGGGTAACGGAGTTGGATCCTTGAAAGCGCGAGTCGAGCTCGAACGCGGCCCGGGCAATCAGGGCACGATATTTACACAGTTCAATTGCGAAGGGACCACATTGTCGGGTGTCGAATTTGAGCTTATAGGATCTGGATATCGGTTGAGTTTGGTGAAGCGAAAATTTGTGTCTGGTACGTTAATTATATAATCAGGAATTTTTTAATCTTTGGATGATTACACAAAAAGTTATATGGAAAAAATATTTTTTGTATTATTAAAAACATTTTTTATAACGAGAAATTCGTTATAATAAATTATTAATGAAGGATGAACATGAATTAGGATGAGCCCGCAAAAACTTTTATTCCCGATTTTTTTTGTAACTAACTGATTTATACAAAGTATGCCAAAATACATTAGTTTTTAAAATTAAGGATTATATATAATTGTGATAAATTTAACTATGCATTTTGTTAATAAAAACGACAAGTTTCTGCAGAGCAATATTCATTACAAAATAATAGCTACAAGATAAAATTTTTGATTGTTTAATTAAAGCAACTTCCCGATTGCCATTTTGTATCTTGTTTTAAAAATGGTACTATTACAAAACTGCTTAAAATTGTTTAAATATAAATTAAAATTTATAAACATTAAATGTTTTAAATTTGTTATAAGAAGGATGTAAAGAATTTCAGTGTTCTTTTAAATTAATTATTTATTAATAAAAAAAGAAATGATTGTCGAAAAGCATAATCTTCATAATTTAATTTTCACTAGTTATCACAGTTTGAATTATTTCAGGAAAATACATATGCGACGGAGACTTGGATTCGCGTTCAAGGTACGCCGCACCGCCATCTAATGCAGATTGACGACTTCCAGAATGGGCGCCTCAATGGGAGAGCCAGCCCATTTAATATTGGTACTTGCTTAATCATTCACTGCCCATATCACGATTATCGATCGTTCATATTCCGATTATACATGGAGAAACTTGTTGGATACCAAAGTGTGCATCGGCCGAAGATTAAATGGATCTTTTTGTAGAAATCATATACCGAAAAAAATAGATAGAGAAAAGGCGTTTACAACTGAAATAATATACCTTTTCTCATGAAACAAACATGATCCATGTTCTCTCTGCACGTTCAACGCCGAAGTCTTTCAAGTCTTCATTTATATTAAGCCATACTATATTTTATCTCGATGGGAACATACAATTACATACAATAGAAAATTTAGACATAAGACGACGCGTTCAACGCTAAATGTACTACTATTAAGTGCAAGCCAACCCTTTATGACTTCGCGACTAAAACGAACAGGTAAAAAAACAAAAATCTGACTTAATGCAGGACACACTATGACGAATGTGCATTCTATATGTTTTATATACAACTTGTATATTTTTTAATTTTTTTATATTCCCCACATCAAGGTACTACTGTACTACTGTAAACTAATAATACTACTGTTTTAATGAAGTTTCTATGATAGAATACGATAAATATGCGAGCAATCTTTTCTGTCGAATGAGAGAGATTCTCGCGTGAAGATCTTTGGTGTCCAGCATACTCTCCGATACGATAACTTCCGCCATTTATCAATTTCTCTCTCTTCACATAATCAAAATACGTCGCGACGTCTTTTTATTTTACTCCTCTATTAAAATAATGTACAACGCTCTTTATTGTTACGTTTTGCATTATTTTAATGCAATAGCATTATATATTGTTATGTTAGCATTATATATTGTTAATAATCGTGCGGAAAGAGAAAAAATATAAACGACCATTAAGTATATAAATATCGATTTTAAGTATATTAATTTAGTATTTATACTTTGGAAGGTAGAAGCATATTACACGTGGTGAACGAGCCTTTCGGCAAGAGATTCTGGCACGTACTAATTTTTAGTTCATTTTTAGTTCATTTTTATGCGCGCGAAGATGATAATATTAAGTAAGCTGTACGATAAAACGCGAGTAAAAACTGTTTAACTGGTGGGGAAATAACGAGAGACAGCGAGAAGCGATAGCAAGAGAAATAGAGATAAAGAGTTTAAATCAACGATACTTTTTTAAACATTAGCACATGTTGAATGCGAAACGAATCAAATACGATTCTGTATTTTTGAACGTTTAAATGTTAAAACACAATTTTGACGTCGATAACAGAATTTTAGCTTTAGGTATAGCTAACGGCGAACAAGGAAAGTCGTTTATCTAAATGTTTTAAATTGAGATTCTTAGTATTATACGTAAAATGCTGAAAGTTTCGTACCTATTGCGATTGTGGCGCGTTCCGTTTTCGCCTGTGAAAGCGTATTCTCGTTATAGTTATATCACACTTGTTCACACATCACATCCACAATTGCCTCCTCTTCGGTTTTCGGCCAGAGTCAAATCCTGATGATCTTTTTAAGTGCGCATCAATGATGACAACTTTTTTCTTTAGAAAAAGTACCATAAGAAAATAATTTTGAGATAGCAACTGATCTCTGACAAAAGGACTGTTAATTTTCAATATCAAAAGGTGGCAATCGTGATCACATTTATTGCTTTATACAAATTGATTGATTTGATCAATTATATTACGAGGTATCACGGACTAATGTTAAGACATTTTATACAAGATATTGATTCTCAATAAGTAAGTCAATTTCCTAAAGGCATTATTAAACAGTCGATTTATTTGTGTCACTACTTTTTTTATCTTGGTATTGATCATTTGCCAATCAATTAAAAATTAATACAGACAATTAATTATGACAATTGAATATCTCGAACTAGATTGATCCAATAATTTGACAAATTTAATTCATGCACAAGATATGTATTATATTCATATTTTTAAAGAAAAATAATGATTGTGATAGTAAATTATTTAATGTTGTGCAATACAATTGGTTTCAAAAATAATTTTATTTTCTCTAAACATATCTTTAGATTATCTCTTATGATGATATTTAACGCATTAAAAGTCATTATTATATAGTATATATTATATAATATAGACGAACATGGTTAAAGCAAAATTATTTTATTGTCGAATATTATGCATATACACACACACATACACACAGTATACGCGCACGCATACACACACAATTTTTGTCTGCTGAGAATTTGTTGGCCGTTAATGAGTTAAATGTCAATCTTTTATTGATAAAATTTTTTTCATGTTTTGAAGTAACAAAATTATTCTTCTTATCGTTTCTTCGATATCTTATTATATCCAAACACATTTCGAAAAACGTGGAATCAGTTTTTTATATATTACGTATATATAAGATCGTAAAATAATGTAACTCTTATAAGAAGTCTGATTCAAATTATACAAATCCGGCGCACTCGATATTTTCTTCCGTTTTACATCGACAAGCGATAATCTCTGGTTCTAAGAGAATTTAATTCTCCTAGACTGAAACTTAAATCTTATCGATAATAGAGAAAGTTCGTTTAAACACTTCGAAAGTTGAAAAGTCAATGGGCACTAAAATACGCCAATTTACGTCTTTTCATTGTAACAATCACATGATGCTAAACGTGAAGTATCATTTCTTATACTTCTCGTTGCTAAAAGAAATATTACGATCAGTAAAAGATTATTATAATTGTCATCGTTATTGTTGCGTCTCAACGTTTTTGCGATATTCTCTATATGTTTCTCTTTCTCTCTCTGCGCGCCTATTTTTCACGAATAACGCGAAAACGTTATTTTCGAGATTGCTTTTTAATTATAAATCATGCAGGGAGGGGCGATACACCAAGGTCTATACGAAGAGCAATACAAAAACATCTGTGACCTATGACGAAATTCGAGTAATCACTCCATTTGAGATAATCCATCGTGCGAAATGAATTATGTTGTTCGATATCGAGTTGTGGATATTGTTTTTCTATTTCATTTATTGTTAGACTTCGAGAATTTATGATAATGGAAAAAAAATTCTAGACTTTATTCCATTATTAATATGATACGCGGTTGTTGCTATCTTTCGCGTTGAAAATTTGCGTACTATATATAATTGGAATATAACATTTGTAATAACATGACAATGGAGTGATTTCTGAAGAATCGACTGAGCTCTCCTGTGATACACAGATGTCACTATAATTTCGTAATAAACATTTGTATTGAAACATACATATACAATGTATCGTAATCACGTTATCGCTTTCTTCCTGATTGATCCCGAAATGGTGACGATAATAACGATGCCGAGGAATATGTGGGATATAAGAACAAAACTCTCCATGTTCAAAAACTCTCAATGTTCTCCAATTTTTTATTGAATTATTGCAATTTTATTGCTTCTGTATGCGTTCAGTTAAAAGTTTTAATTAAAATGTACGAGGTCAAAGAAGCAACAATTTAGGTCTCCGTATTTAAATTTTAGAAAAAGAAAAGATATGGATTTAGATTAACCAAATGTTATTAAAACGACAGGCCTAAAACTACATTACGGAAATTTCAAAAATTATTTTCTTGTAGATAAGATTTATTTGTTTCTTTCTTTTTATACATCTATTACAATAATCTGAAAATAGAAACTTTGACGATTTTTAGTTAACTCTGCGTATAAGACTATAGGAAAAGGGACCCAATTCGGATGGGATCTTAATATATATTATTATGAACTTGAATACTCGTTAATTTGTCACTTATTGTTTATTAAAAAGTTATTAACACAAAATAAAGTGTTATTAATTATGAATTCTGTATTATATGTATATTTATTGTAAAATATAAATGAGGATGAGGCATCATCTCTTCTTTTTAATAAACATTTCTATTTTAATGAACATCTCTGACTTAACTTAATCTACTTTTAATTTGAAATTGGAAAATTCTTCCTATATATTTAAATATATGAACGAAATTCCCAAATTTTACATTAAAATTAGATCAGATTTTTTTTTTAGTTAGATTAAATTTGAACGGTAACGGGCTCCTTCTCTACATTTATTTGAAACATATAAGAGAAACATACAATAAATAATATAGAATCTAAATTTAATATTTGTTTGCATGCGTCAATATATTACGATAATAGCTTTTTAACAAACAATGAGCGACGAAAATAGAACCTTTTAAAGATTAGATTGATTTTGATAACCGAAGTTACTGCAACTAATTGTAAATCCCTTTTTCTTTAATTCTATCTCTTCTTGGAACATTCTTCCATAATTTTCTCAAAAAATGGAGGATTTGAGCTTTAATTTTTATTCTCTTATCTTCCTCCTTCCATCCTAAGTCATTTCCGTTTTGTCCATTGATAAATGCGTTTTTTCTATTTGTTCTATAATTATAATAACAACGCGGACAAATCGCGAGTGTTGATTGTTCCGATAAGAAAATTTGTAGTTATAAATGATTAATATTACACGCTTAATCAATGGAATTGATTTTACAAAGAGACGTAAGTGTCCATCACATACTAGTTGCGCGGTAAAAGAGGAAAAAAAAGAAGAGAAGAAATAAGGGAATTGCAACGCAATCGCGTACATAACACAGGCGTAATTTCTTATACATAATACAAATACGAAAACTGTAAATTAATGCGATACAAATATTGCGCGATGCATAGCGAGCGGTTATGTAAACTTGTTGACATGTAATATGTCCTATGTTCTAATAAAGATTTAGGATATTTTCTATAAGATATTTTCTATAACAATTGCGACGGCATCGCTTAAACACATATTTTGATACATAAAATAATTATTAATTAATAGATACTTTATCAAAAAATACAATAATGTTCCGCGTCAAGTGTACACGCAATCATACATGTCATCACTTATCTATAATACGGGTGTCAACCAGTTAAAGAGACTCTTATTTCAATAACAGCTGATCCAATCAAATTCTGAGTAGGCTCAATTGAACTCAAATGATAGCTTAGAATTGAATTATATAAATAATTATATAAATAACTGACTACGGCTGTGTGCGAGATATGCGAGGTAAGTTTGTGCGTTTTATTGTACACGCCGACTAGAAATTTGATTAAATTAAACGCAGTAAAATTATTGAGTAGAAATCCACATCGTTGTCCTATAATGGCCGTCGCGTAAATCAAATCTAGATACGCACGTTGGAGTAAGTATTCTCGAGTAAGTATTCTTAGGAGTAACATATGTTGTTTGTTTCTTTAAACACTATTTGATTAATTTATACTAATACGTAAATGTTAGTATGGTACTGTAATAATAGATCTATAATTTACTTTATAAAATATGATTTAAAAACTCTCGAATCTCTCTATAGTTGCATGACCTTACCACCTATTTATCAAGGAATATATTTTCTAGATTTTTCATCTTTACAGATAAATTACTTTTATCTACAGTTTTTAAATTACGAATTGATCAATATATTAATTTTTGTTATACTTGCCTCATTTGTCTCTTTTTTTTATTTGCTTGGACATTTGAATCTTGTGTAAATTGCTATCAATTTTTGTTGCCTTCTCGCGTAAATTTTCTCAATATCTGTCTCAATGTCTCATCTTCTTTGAAACATTGGATCAGTGTATCTTCATATCTAAAATAGAAATGTTACACTTTATTTGATCTACAGAAAACTCACGAGAAAATAGAATTTTGAAAGAAATATGCTCAGCTTTTTAATCCATTAATCTTTAATTCTATATAATATCAGACTATGTGTATATACATTGTTGTAACTATTTTTTTATTTTAGTTTGTTCTCTTAATTACATCCTGTTTGTCATATCATATTTATCATTTCATTTACAGTCATGAAAACATGAATTTATTTGTGAAATTTTCTATCAAAATTTTGATCACCTAAATTTTTATCACCGTATGATTTAAAAACGTAAAGATAAAATATGAATATAATTTTGTAATTAAAGATTTATCGAATATTTTTGTTATACATATGAAAATATAATGTAAAGTAATTATATTTTCGTATAATGATATTAAACATGCACATTACTTTTAGATTTAATAATTGCACAATTGTAAAAATTAAATGTTAACACTCCTTCTCTTCTATAATATTCTGAGGGACTTCTTTATATAGAATGTGTAATAAATTCTATATATATATCTTATATATATATCTTACTTTAGTGGTATTTGGCTATCCTCACGTTGCACGGCACCCAAAGTGTGGACTCTCTGCAACACAGTATTCGCCACTACCCTCTCATACTCCAAATATTTTTCATCCTGGGTGAACCATAAAGCCACTGCGCATCTCTTGCCACTACGTATACCTTGAACGCCATGAAGATTTTCACCGCCGGCAGAAAAAGCCACCATACGTCCACACTGAGGTCGAATAATACCTTGAACGCGACGTCTCTTCCAGTCTTCTACGAAGAAGAACTCGCCGCCATCGAAATCATCATTGAGATATAAAATCGCCGAATAGTCCCGCCACGTATACGCGGGATCTTCTCGCAAGCAGAAACCATCATCTTTTATCACGCAGTTATCAGCGTGAATCTCATGACTAAGATCAGTTCTATTCGCCGGCGAATCTGAAAATAATGATCTAATGAATTTTCTAGAAACTTTTTAGAAACAGATACATATACCTAATCTTCATCCTTCCTTAGACAACTTGTTACATTACTTGATTAAATACATATTTTATTATTATATTTTATATAATGATCATTTTGTTAATAAAAAGAATTTTTTATGAAAATAAAATCAAATGTTATAAGCGAACCGATCCACAATAAAATATGATCTGATCGATTATTTAT